CTTGCTAAAATAGAGCCTGGGCACTTAACTGCTGTGGCTACAGAGATGTAAATGCATCTCCACTAGAAGAGACTCTGCTCAACTAAGTTTGGGAAGCATCTTTGTACTCCTTCCCATCTGGAAAGTTCACCGTGCACATTTTCATGATGCTGTATTGACTGTCGCAGGGAAACATTTCTAACCTGATTCTTTTGTTTAACTAGTAACACACTCGGAGGGACTAGTATATTATGAGCAATATAATCAAAATTGACCTTAAGGATTTACAAGCTCCTAAAATGTGTCTGATTATGAGGCAACCTATGTTCCCTGTATCTGCTATTGTCACTGGCTCATACAGGGCCCCAATATTAAGTTGGTCGGTTGAATGGACATATGGATGGATGGGTATGTAATTACTTCTATGGTTTCTGATAAGACTCATCTGATGGGAACTTAAATCAAGATTTAAGCTGTTGGACCAAACTGAGCATTCATTTATATTAATATCTCCTTCCGAAATGAAAAGGCAAATGATTTAGGATGACCTAATCCAGACCCTGAAGCACAAAAGGAAAGCACTGATTAAGGACACACAAAAGCCCTGGGATTGTGACACTTCATTAGAGCCTACCTGGAATTTGCACCAGACTCACTTCCTCACTTGCGAAACTTCTTGAAGTCGCTATGAGGTATTCATCAGGGTTTCTAGCGGCAAGTGACTGAAGCAGAATCTATGATTTTACTGGGAATAACTTTATTCAAATAGCTGTGTTAGTGAACAGGATCTCGGTGAAGAGCAGAGACCAAGTGTGGAGGTGCTACCGAGCCAGGAGCACCAGCAGAATCAAACCTGTGAAAACCCAGTGAGAACAGCAGGCTCACTGCCAGCTGCGCAATGCAGGCCTGAACCACACTGATGCTGGATTCTGCCGGCAGAGCAGCGTTGCTGATGCCTCAGAAAACTGGAAGGGCTGCTGCCTTCACCCTCTTCCATTACCAGATTGGATTCTGTACACCATTTACCTGTTCCTTCATGAACTTTCTGAAGACCTCTTATACTTAACCGTGAAGTTAAATGTAGGTTTCACTTGGATAGAATCAAAGTGTGGGTAATGTTGCGTTCCTTTCTGTCCACTCCGGGAAGAATTGGGAAAGAATCATTTCCCTGCCTTCATGGACCCCCCGCCTTCCAGCTTGCAAGCCAGGAAGGCCAGGTGTACTCCTTTCCATACCACATCACTCTGATCTGACACTTGTACGTGTGGCTTCCACATCTGAGGATGCTTGTGATGCCCTTGATAATGTAAAATCAGGTTCTTCTTTTAAGCTTGGCTGATTAGAAATCTTAATTTCACCTGCAACCTAGATTATCCTTTGCCATAGAGCCTAACATATTTCCAGTAAGGAGCAGTAGTATTTTGCTCCTAAAGCTGGTCAGACTCTGAAGCTATGCCTGTGTTCATCAGAAAAGATTAATTATGGTTGATTATTAATACATCATCCTCCCATAGCAGCAGGCTAGGAGAGTTTCACAACACCTGCCTACGAGACGGGACCCGCGCTCCTGTCTTGACTCGATGAGCCCTGATAAAGGAGAGTGCTTCGGGGTTCTGTCCGGTCCCATGCCCCCGTGGTCATTCTCTTCTACTGCCGTAGAGTAATGTGTCCCTTGCTGGCAAGCTGAGCCTCCTCTTAGGCTCTATATGATCCTGACCTTCATGGTTTCTTCCTTGTTGTATCTCTTGATTTAGGCACAGCAGCAGGCCTGGTGCAGGGTGCTGGGGACCTCCACGTAGGTACAGTAACATCACAGAACTTCAGCACTGCAGAACAGACGTAGACCTGAGGCAGTCCGTCTTTGGATGAAGGGTCAAATGACTTTGCAAAAGAAGATAAAGTTACTTCCCAGGTCACAGCCATCCCTATTCTGTGCTTTCCGCCTCCACACCCTGCCTCAGATGGTACTATTCTCTCTTTCGACACCCCAGATCTTTCTTGTTCTCCAAGTAACTTCTCTTTTGGCCTCCCCAGCTATAAGAATGCCCACTTCCTCACTGTAATTTCATCTTCAACGTAGCTGATATCACTGATGTTCAGCTCCTCCATGAATGCTGAAGGAGGACCCTCAAGGTGCTGTGGTCTGCAGCTGGCCCTTGGCACTTATTAAGGGCAGCAGGTGGGAGCTGAGTGATCACACTAGTACATATAAAGAGGTGTGTGGGGTCAGTCCCCAAGGGAATAGTATATTGTGTTCCAAGAGTTAACAGGCTGTGTTGGAGAAGTGACAAATGACCTGTAACCTGAGGCTCAGTGGAAACTAACCAGGTGAAGAAGAGAGAAAAGCTTTCGAGGTAGAAGCACAGCAAGGTGTAAAAGTAGTGTGGGCACAGTACAGGGTATCTGGTACTGTAAAAGGAAGTCAGTGGTTTGAGAGGGGCAAGTTAGAGATGTAGTGCCAGGTGGAATGGATAGGCAGGTCACAGCCAGGGCACCCTGACAAAGCTCCATCCCAACAGCTAGGTATGTTCTATTCATTTGCCATGATCATCACCACCCCACGCTATGCTCCTTAGAAATTGCTGTTTATGTTCGTTTCATTTGAAAAGAGACAGAGATATCATCCATCTGCGGGGTCACTCTCCAAATGGCTATCTTAACCAGGGCTGAAGCCGGCTGAAACCATGAGCCTAGAACTCGACTGGTGTCTTCCATGGGGGTGGCAAGTAACTGAATCATCATCCATTGCCTCCCAGGGTGCACATTAATAGGAAGCTTAATTAAAAATGGGAGCTAGAACCTGATGAAGGCACACTGATATAGTACACAAGCATCTGCATCCTAACCGTCATTTCAAATAACCGCCCTTTTCATGTATTTAAGCATCTAGGTTCCCTCTATCAGCCTGCTATGTTTAGTATCACATGAAAACACTGACATAAGAGATCAAGTTACAACACACTTAAGGAAAAGCCAAAGCAGTCTGTCCCACAGAGGGAGAATGTGGAGTCTCCTTTTTGAAAAAATAACTGGGAAATTAAAAGATAACAGGTTGAATTTTAAAAGCATCCTTCTCTTTAGAATCCACCTGACCACAGTGAATGCAGTGACCTGCACTCAGTGAGCAAACTACAATGTGTAGTGTCCAAAGGTGTGTGCACTAACAGACTTCCAGCTGAGACCCTGCAATTCTTATCAGGTTGGAGTGGCTCTGTTTCAAAGGGTGTGGAGGTGAAGACTACAGGGGTTGCATTAAGCAGGTGTAATAGTTGATAACAACTATGCTGAATCGTGAGAGATTCATAACTTTTGTGGAATCAACAACCACACTTAAGATGACTTTCTGGAGCTTGTGGCAGTGGGGAGGCAGAGATGGAGGACAGTGTTCTGGTTCTGATCCTGGCTCTGTCATGGGGCTTCTCGACCCTGGACCATCATACCATCATATTTACAGTAAAATAGGATGAAGCCACCTTCCCAAATATTTTCATTAAAAAGGTCAAGTTAATCGGAAGTACCCAGAAAGTGTCTGAGGATTGCAGAACATTGGATTCTGATGCGCTACACACCACGTCAAAGCCCAGCACTGTCAATTTCTCCCCTAGGATTGGGCAGAACTGCTGTTAATCCAACCAAACACCAGATGAAGCGATTGGCTTGCCTTCAGGAGCCATGTAGCAACAAAAACGTTTCTCCGTTTTAAACATGGAAGCCACCCTCAGGGAGATGCCTGCAGTCCCAGAAGCACACCACACTGCCTGTGACGTCACCAGGCACATGCCTCTCATTCTGCAATGGCTACTTCTCCACATGCTCCAGGAAGACAACTCTCTCTCCTCACCCCAACCTGCCTCGAGAGGGTAGAAGAAGGATAGAAGTGACAGGTCACTGGACAAAGTCCATGTCAGTAAAATAACATGAATGAATCTTCCATCTGCTGGTTCACTTCCCCAAGGGGCTGCAACCGGATAGTCTGAAGCCAGGAGCCAGAAGCATCTTCCTTTGTCTCCCACAAGGATGAAGGGCCCCAAGTACTTGGACCATCCTCTGCTGCTTTTCAAGTGCATTAGCAGGAAGATGGATTGGAAACAGAGCAGTCAGCACTGAAACAGCACCCACATGGGATTACAGTGCCACAGGCAACGACTTTACCAACTACGCCACAGTGCAAACCTCTTTCTTCCTGCTAGTGAATAAATGGAGTTCTCCAACTTTCCTGATTCCATGGTTAGGTCAATGACTGAGTCACTCTACCAATTATATACTCTTTTTTTCTTTTTAAATCTATGTGGATCACACTCTGCCCCTGTAATAGCTAGCAGGTATAGCACACATAAGCTAGAGTATAAACTGTGGGATCTGCTCATGGCTTTTGCTGAGCATTGCTTAAAAATATCGTAGAAGGACCTGGCGTGGTAGCCTAGCTGCTAAAGTCCTTGCCTTGCACATGCCGGAATCCCATAAGGACACCAATTCTAATCTCAGCCACACCACTTCCCATCCAGCTCCCTGCTTGTGGCCTGGGAAGGCAGTTGAGGACAGCCCAAAGCTTTGGGATCCTGCACCCATGTGGGAGACCCAGAAGAGGCTCGAGACTTCTGGCTTTAGATCAGCTCAGCTCTAGCTGTTGCAGCTGCTTAGGGGAGTGAACCGGCAGATGTAAATCTTACTCTCTGTCTCTCCTCCTCTCTGTGTATCTGACTTTCCAATAAAAATAAAATAAATCCTTTCTAAAAATAGTAGAGGAAAAATTACTCATAGTTGTGGAGGAAGATGGGGGAGTGCCACATGGGCTTTTAATGAGGACACCTCAGTGTGAACAAATGAGAAAAGAGACTTTCAGATACAGATGTTAGGATGAACAAAAATGATCATGCTAAGTCTTAAGCAAAGCTTACGGGTGTGTAAAACCATGATCATATATAAAATGAACAACCTATTCATGGAGGCCCATTCTGCTTATAAGCCAACCTAACTGGCTCCCCAAAACATTTCAACAGAAAAAATAGGCAACGCATTAGTCAGAAATATAGCTTTATTATTATAATATTTCATAATCTAAAAACTTCGTTTTCAATTCTGGAACAGAATATTCCAACATCTGTACTACTGACTGACCCTGTAGAGAACCAGTGTCTAGGCAATCTGAACTTTGCAGATCATCTGTAACCTAGCTTGAGAAAAAGAAAACAGTCCAAGTGAAGACCTCTCCTACTAAACAAATAATGAAATTAGGTCTACTCTCTGGTTTAACCTTAAATGTATTTTTCCACTCTGGTAACTTCTTCAAAAAAAAAAAAAAACTGTTTTAACCCTAAAGTCAATCAGCATGGGGACAAAGCAAATGCTTAAAAATAAGACATATCTGCGACACTGCACCCTGCGCAAGCCATGTGGCATGAAATATCCTTCCAAGGGAGTCAGCTCCAGTATTTCAGCACTGAAGTCATGCCTCACAGGAAGCACAATGTATCTAAGACATTTTTTTTTGCAAAGGGACAGAATGCAGTTGTAACCTTATACAGAAATAGTTACTGGAACAAAGGAGTCCCCAAACCTTCCGTCTTGTGTTTACAATAGATAAGACATCCTGGTGCTTCCTGAAGAACACTGGGTACCACTGTCCAAGACCGCTGGCATGTCCCCTGCATATGTCACATGAAAATCAAAAATGTAAGCTACTTTAAGTAAAACAGAAAAAAAGATCCAGTTATCCCATCTTGAACAAGATGTCGCCATTACATATGTGTTACAGGACAAAGGGCATGCAGCACAACAAACCTTATTATGATTTTTTTAGTATGCAAAAGATTAAAGTGCAATCATGGTATAAGCATCAGTAATAAATAACTTTAGAGGAGGTTAATTCTCCAAATAAATATAACATTATAATTTTTACAATGTTAGCCTAAACAGTAATATTCACAGCAATATTCAGTCCCCCCTGTACATCACATGATGGGTCCACACCCATAGGCCAAAAGTAAAAAAAAAAAAATCAGCGTTTTTTAACTACAATAGGTTCAAAATGTTTATATAAGTTACACTTTCAATTTATTGGCATTTTGAGTAACTGCTTATTATTATCTATTTTTAAACTTACTGCTAGTTGAACGCTTATTGCATTAACAATCATAGTTCCGTTAATGTTAATTAGGTTACAGCTTTAAAGTAAGAGAATTCAGTTTACATGAACATATATAGTTTAAAACCACCCATCACTAGTGCACATTTGCTCTGTATTTAAAAATAAATTAGTAATATACTTAACATATTTTACTTATATATATATATATATGTGTGTGTGTGTGTGTGTGTGTATTTGTGGACAAATATATTCTTGTTTCCAGGGTGTCAGAATCTATAAACTCTGTATGAGACCTGATGATATTGCTAATTAAAAAAAAAAAGGAAGAATTCATTTTTGGAGAAAGTGATAAAGCAGGAGAATGTGAAAATACAGAGGGTGGACACAGTGCAAATCTGAATCCTGCATGCATTGTTTATTTCAGGAATGACTTCAGGATGCAGTGCCCAGTGTACACTCCGGGCACCTGGCTGACAGGTAAGGACACACCCTGCTTCTGCTGCGAACGGGTACAGATGCAGCAGGCAATGAAGCAAGCTGCCCAGTGGGCAAGTTAGCTCGCAAAGAGAAGGCAATGCCACGGCTAAGAGCAAGCTGCGAACATGTCCCTGAAGCAGGTCTCAGACCAGGGCTGAGTGAGACTGCAGTTGCTCCCAGCAGCCATCAGTGCCATTCCAGCTGCTCTGACAGGGCACCAAAGACGGGTGCTGATCACGGGAGTTGATCTTCCCGACCACAGCCACACAAACGGCCGCTAACACACAGGCTGACGGCGTGGCTGTAGTAGTAGCAGCAGCGAGCAGCGGAAGGCTCGGTCAGAGATGACAGCAGAGTGCACCAGCATCTGAATAAACATGCATCCAGGGACACAAAATCCTGCATCAAGCAAACAAACTAAAAAACAGTCCCTTGAAATCAGAACTGAAGTCAGAATGAGCAAGCCCCTTAAGCCACCTGAAGATTGAAATCTCCATGAACCAGACTTGAAAATTAACTGAAGAGAAGGTGAGAAAGAAATCCACCCAAATATTTTTATTTCACTGCCATAAACAGAACTTTCCCATCTGCCTTCCGGTGTAGAGAGCTGTGGGCACAAAAGCATTCTCCCCTGTGCCTGGCGTCATCTGTGGCTCTGAGGATTAACAACCACTGCATAGGAGGCCTGCGGCCCCTGCCAGTTACCTCAGAAGCTGGAGTTTTGGATGAGAAGAAGTATGTCTCATTCTTTCTTTCTTTTTTTTTTTTTTTTTAAAGAACTTCTTCTGTAATGCGTCTCTTGTTTCTAGAAGAGACTTGTGATACAATTCCGGTTCACTGGGATTCCCATCTGTTACATTCTGCAACCCTGGGTGATGCCCTTGGCTTTCCCAATGTCTCACCATGGCATTGTCCAATCATATCAGGAATGGCCCTGGGTTTTACATTCCCCAAAGCCGGATGACGGTAGCCCAAAGTTCTCCACCCTTTTAGATGATGTTCACAATTGCTGTTGGCTTTTTCTTAGCCATCTTGGGCCGGATGTTGCCTTTCCGGCTGAAGCCGAGGCACTCGCCTTTCTTGGGCAGTCTGCAGAGTTCCCGTGAGGACTCGGCCTGCTCGTGCATGGACTTGGCAGGCTGCATGCTGGCTCTGTCATCCTTGACTTTCTTCAGGCAGCTTCTTCCCTTTGGGTGGAAATGGGGCTTGAGATCTGGGTGGTTACACACTGAATGTGAGTGTCCACGGCTCCTACAGAAAGTGAAGTGGAGTTGGGGAGGAGATAAGCAGAAAGATTTCTTAAAGCTGTGAAAGAATAGTAATTAATCCACAGCACAATCAGTCCCTTGTGGTCAATGGTGACAATGTTATCACTAACACAAGTGATATATGTTGGGATTTTCTCCCCCAAATTCCCACGATCTCCAGGAAATTATTGAATGAGACTAAATCCAAGGGAAAAGATTACTAGGCTCGTTTATCAGTCATAAGATTGAGACACAGGGCATTTCAATGAAAACTGTCCTACAGAGATGGGAATTTTGGACTCCCGAAAGACCATCAGGGGACTCAAATCTGTATAAAATATGCAACTAACAGTATGAATTTACAAAAGATAATGTAGCATGCATACTAAGAGTCCTGTAGCTATGACGACTACACCATACTTCAGTAAGGTTAAGTTTCATTGTAAAATAACGTGGGAATATTGCTCCAGGACTATCACAACTTTGTATGCATCTGAAAGTCACCTCTACATTTTACGCTGTGAGGAACACATACAGGTACATTTGTCACCTAAACCTTCAAACCCACTTAACACGCTAGACTTACTCATGCAACATTCAACAGAGACACATATAACACAAATATTATTAAATTGTCTAAGTTTAAAAAGATATACATACAGGCATTTGGGTTTCTTATTTGAGGAGATATCTGTAAGCTGAAGGAAAACAAATAAGAAAGAAAACACATTATTTTGTTTGAATGTTGGATTTGGTGTTTCAAATCTTTCTTCTGAAGAAATTGCATTCACATGGAGGGATTGGGGAACTGCTCACAGTAAGTAGCATTGCCAGTGGCACCATGCATCACGCTAGTGAAGAGCTATGTCCCAGCCTCTGCTTATTCTGGGCACCTTAGGAGCTGTATGTCCTGAGGGTCCCAAGAACTCTGTATCAACAGATCTCAAAAATCTCAAAAAATCAAAGGCTCCCAGCTCCCTGCCACCCTGCACCAAAAGAGCAAGGCTTGAAGAAACATGTTTACAAACTGGAATGATGTGCCATTAATTGTGGATTGATCGGGTTGCATCTCCAGCAAAGTGACAACAGCTCTGATTGGTTACAATATCTAAGTCAAGAGTAAATTGGCATAAAATGTTTACTACCTAAAATACACGATTTTGAAATAAGAGCGACTGAAGACCATCCCAGAGGCGCCAGTTGCCTCTGATGCTGCCCAGCCTTGGTAATGCTTCCCATTCTTGTAACTGATCTACCTGCACCTGTGTGGCTGGGGTCAGGATGTCTGTGTTTTCAGGAGAAATCAATAACCACCATCTTGTGATCCAGATGTCACCACCTGATGTTCAGGCAAATCCAGTACACTCCCAAGCCTTCCGTTCCTAACTTGCTCATGTAACTCTGATGTAACTGGGTGAAGTGATGTCGCATCACAGAGTGACAGAGAATGCGGGGGGGTGGGGGGCGGGGAGGAAGGGCTGTTTTCATGTTTGGGCTGCCGAGGAGCAACACATGTGACCCTGCTATGCACTATAAGAAACCAGAAAACAGAGCTCAGTGTAACAGGATCATGGCTCCAGTTCTACTGTTTGTGGCTTCAGGTTTAAACAGGAGCAAGCCAAAAGGAAATGTCGATCCAAAGGCTGGTGAGGGCCACGCCCTCAAGGAGGCAGGAGGGCAATCCTGGCTCTTGTCTTGGGACACAGTTGAAAGTCAACACTATTTTTGATCTTGTTCAAAATTAGTGAATTAAAAACCAACCAACAACCAAACACAAGAGGCATTATCATGCCATGATGCTCCTGAAGTTAAGCAGTAATCAGAAGTGAGGCAGGTGGCTTAGGCCAAGGCCAGGTTGATGGCTTCTGGGGATCCCCAAGGACATCAGCACTGCCCCCACCCCTGTCCTTCCCGAGGCCACCAGCATTAAGGGTTTCTCACCTGGGCCGCATGCACGTTAATGGATGTGGAACCATAAAATGGTTATTCTTCCTTTAAATCTTTTCCCCATCATTCTTTTTTAAAATTTATTATTATATTTTTTAAATTATTAATTACATTGTATTATGTGACACAGTTTTATAGGTACTGGGATTCCCCCTACCCCTCTCTTAGCCCTCCCCCAATTCCCCGTCATTCTTATTCTTACTGGAGTATAACAAAATATAGTCATTTTACTGTAAGTATGAGGGCATTTTAAAGACTTTATGGGAAGATGAAGATAGCATCTAAGCTGAAGCAAAAATACTCAAAATTTATGCTTAGCTGTTTTATAATATGCACTTATACTGAACTTTTGGAAGGCCCCTCATACTTATGTAATTTTTTGCCGAATGATTTTTTTCATATGTATACATTATATCTTTTAAAGTTTTATGCTAAATTGAGAGAAAAAGAAACACACACACACTCAGACAGAAAGAAAAATATATACATACAAGCTTTCTTCTTTGGGGAAAAAGCAACAGTGTTATCAAATCTTCTATAAGAGTTCCCTGACTTCAACAATATTTTAAGAACTGAAACATTGGCCCAGCACAATGGTTTAATTGGCTAATCCTCCTCCTTGGAGTGTCAGGATCTCATGTGAGCACTGGTTCGTGTCCTGGTTGCTCCACTTCCCATCCAGCTTCCTCCTTTTAGCCTGGGAAGCCAGAGGGGGATGACCCAAAGCGTTGGGGCCCTGAACCCAAATGTGATACCTGAAAGAAGTGCCTAGCTTCAGATCAACTTAGATCTGGCTGGCTGTTGTGGCCATTTGGGGAGTGAAGCAGTGGATGGAAGATCTTTTCTTTCTGTCTTTCCTCTCCCTCTGGAAATCTGCCTTTCCAATAATAACAAATAAATCTTCTCTAAACAGCAAAGAACTGAAGCCTTAGCACACATGAACATCACTAATAGATCTAGCTGGACCTTAAGAAATGTGAACAATTGACGATGTCTTATAAGAAGGAACACACGTGAATAAATACGGATACAGAAGCACCTGAGCTGTATGTAGGGCTATCCAAGTTCCATAATGGTGCACATTTGTCTATCACATGCTGGGGCGACACCAACAATTTGTTAAGTACAGTGAACCCTCAAAATAGCCCTAGGAAGTAGGCATTATTGTTCCCAGCTCACTGATACGGAAACTAAGGCAGCAAAAGAAATAACTACTTCAAAGTCTCAATGTACCAGGTCAAGGCTGGGCTTCATACTCAAGGTGGCTGACTGCAAGCCTCCTCTCTGTACTGCTCCTCAAAGCATGCGTTATATGTACAAATGTAAGAGCAAAGGAGCATGCACACAATAAATTCAGTGGAATCAACAGCTAGATGAGGATTTCTCCCAAGCCCTCTAAATCCACAGGGTAGAGGCCAAACCTGCTGTCACAGCCGTTACAGAGTGCTCCATCCTCTCCTCCTTGCACACACAGAGGCTGCCATGAACCAAGGCAGATGCAAAAGGTTTTCTGACTTAGTCCATCTACCTACCTCCATTGTCTCTCACCCAATGATTCTGTCTTGTTGTTTAGGGACAAGAGGATGCTAAGCCAGCAATGAAGAGTCTTTGATCAAGGTTCCATATACAAAAAACATATGTAACCGTGCACAGAACAACAAGGCAAGTACTTCTAAACCGGAAGCATGGTGCTTGAAGCAGCTGTGGGCTTGAGGAATTAGACCCTGGTGTCTTCTCCCACCTGCCCTTTGTGTAAATGGCAACAGTGCACACTCACTGCTTAGGCCAAAGCCTTGCTTTCTCCTCGATTCCTCTTTTTCTCTTCATTCACTAAATCACATCCTTCAACAAGGTCAGCTGATCTTGTCACTCCCTAGAGCACACCCTTCCTTCTTTTTAACTCCTGCCCCATCCCTCACCACCTTTCCCTAGAGCCTCTCATTCTTACATGCCTGAGGTTATTCCCTACACAGCAGTCTGAATGAGTTTTTGCTGAAATGTATATCACAACCTGCTACAAACCTTCCAACAGCTTCTCTGTGCGCTGGGAAATGGATCCAAACATCTTACGTGAGCAGAAAGGCCCCATGTCTGGATCCTTTCTGGCTCTCTCCATTATCTGCCAGGCAGCTCTGCCAACTTACTCTCTCCCAAGACATCTGCCCTACCTAATTCTGGAACATTCCTTTCCTAGCTTTCCACAGAGCGGCTTCTTCCTGGTTCAGGTCACAGTGCAAACATCACCTCCTCTTAACACTTTTCCTGAATCAGCTGTATCTAAAGTGGCTCCCCCAACCCTGGACACCTTAAGGTTATCATCTCCCAGACTTTCTGTCTTTAGGTAGTCATCATGAAGTGAAATGGCCCTCATTCAGTCACTTGTGTAATGTGTCCTCCTCCTTGCTGAGAGCAGGGATCTTGTCCACCTTGCTCACAGCAGCTTCCTCAGCACCCAGTAAATGCTGTGATCCCAATAAACATATGCTAAATGAATTACTGCTTGCTCTCATTTAGCAACCTGCAGGAAATAAATGCAATGCTTAAAATAAGATTATCCAAGCTGTTTCATGACCTTCCTTTCGAGCAGCTCCCTGAGTGATTTTGGCAGATGAGATATGAGGTCACTTTGTGTCTATTTCAACAGTATTTTCCAGAGCAGAAAGATAAAACACCTGAGTAAGCATACTGTATTTTTAGAAATCAGCTAGGTGAAAAAGAACACAAATGCTCAAGGGGATTCCAAAAAAGACACAAATGCCAAGACAGTACTTCCAAAAGGCAGGAAGGGAAAGGAAGGGGAGGTGATTTTTCCATGGCACTGAAGGATAGGAGTCATCTTAGAAAGACATTGCATATCAACCTGGGAATTTCATGCTCTCTGGAGAAGGTGGCATAAAAGAGGGCAGAGGGGCTGAAGGAAGGAACTAAAGCGCATTTGAGAACAGAGAGTAAGAAGCTCCTACTTTGCCCACCAGGGTCTAGTGGAGACAGTAGGAGCAGGGCTGGAGATGGCGGCCTGCCAGTTCCTGAGAAGGGAGAGCAGGTGTGCACTCAGGGAAGGCAGCTGGGTAGAACATTCTGCTCATGCTGGGGATACAGGGCAAGGAACTGTGAGCTGAGGTTCCAGAAGTTTGTGTTTCTGGCTGTCCTATGCCTTCAGCACACCGGGGCAAATAGGTTACTAGAGGAGTCAATGGTTTCCCTTTTAAAAAGCACCAGTTATTCTGTGTGTGTGTCTACTCACAGACTTAGCTCTCTGACTATATTAAAGACATGGTGCCTCATCTTAAGGAAAACAGACCAAGTAACAGAGCCTATGGTGAGAAGAGGGTCCATGGCATTGGCAAACTATCTCACAGCATCACATGTTATAATCCAAGAATGACTACATGGGAACACAAGGGGAAACCACATCTGCCCAGTCCTTCCAGAAAGCATACACCTGCTAATCTGCCCTTGAGTTGGCACTGTTCTCCCTCCAACAGTCATTATAGCCCCGTCATGCCCTAACCACACATAGCTCTCATTTCTGAATTCCTTTCTGCAACCTTAACCTTAAAGACATTTTATTTCACTTGAATTGGTCAATTATTCTTTAGGTACAGCAAGTCTGTTGAAGGTAGAGGACATCATGTTTAGGAAACAGAAAGTATAAATACAAATGTTTATTACTCTCCCACCATATTTGTATGCATGTGCATATATTGCATGTGGAATAGTACCTGAAAAAGTTTGTGATAAATATAATAAAAATAAGAGTTTACTTTGGTGCAAAAAATGTTTTAATCCATGCTGACTGTGAATCCTCAATATTTCCTGGAAGATGCCAATTATGAAAAAAAAATGCATGGATTTTCAACAATTCTTAGACCAAAATGAACATAATTTGATTCCATATTCCATGAATGTTCTTATCTATCATGTGTCTTAATGCATACATGTGTACCGATATATGCACTTATGTAATTTTGCATAAATACATCTGAATGAAAGTGCCTTTAAGATACAAGTCAACTTTAGATGATCTGATTCAAGTGCTCCCCACTCTCCCAGAGCACAAGGAATTCACGCTGGTGGCTGGACCAGCAGGACTCACCAGGTGCTCACTGATGTCACGGCTGAAGCCGGAGGCCTGCTGGCTTTGATAGTACTGTAACTGCTTCTCGGCCAGTTCTACTCGCTGCAACAGATTCTCGATGAAGTCCTGGAGGCGAGCCTTCCCTTGCACCTCCTTCTCAGCTGCTGCTTCCAGGAAATGGTTGAATGTGACAACTTCTCTGCAAGGCAAAAATGTCAGAACACAAGACAAATCCATGAGACATCCGTTCGTTCAACACGTTCTTATTGGGTGTCGACCGTGTGTCATCATTCTAAGCAGTACAGCCAAGGTAACCACATGAGAGATAAAATGATACCTTGGTTATTTATATGAGGAGGTTATATTTTAGCAGAGAGAGTTAGTCGCTATAAAAATGTAGGTCAGGGGGTGGTTAGTTCTAAGGAAACTGAAAGTGGGTACCAAGGCACAGCATGAGCAAGAGAGCAAAAGGGGTGATAGCTTAGGAAGCGAAGTCACGCACAACATCTGGACGAAAGAAGCCCTGAATAATAAGCAGATACTTCAGAGAAAAAGCTAAACAAACCAGGGACATGCAGATGAGTCTGAGACAAGGCAACAAGTCCTGCATGGGGAAGGCAGTCAAGGGAGGCCTTCTGATGTCACTATGAATATTCCCGTTCAGATTACATATGAAATGAGAAACCACTGGATGTTCTTGAGAAGTATAGCTGCTATGGCTTTAAAAAAAATGCTGATGGGGAAAGTATGGAGGCAAGAGGCCACATTCATATCAAAGTCCTGCAAAGAATAAAATAAGAATAAAATACACTGCCCATAGTATATTTTTGAGCTAAGAAAAAAACAGCTTAGACACCACCTAGGACCCACTCGGAAAGCTATTCAAGCACTCAGCACAGGGAGAAGCAATTGGTAGTATGTAACTGAGCAAATTATTTCAAATAATAACTCCTTCAACAATCACCTACCTAGTTCTTTATAGGTTCATAATTCTACAAAAATCTAATTATCATCTTATCCCTTCTATTCTTAGTAGAAGTATGAAAGTGACATCTTTCTGATTTATAAAATATACAGGCACTTTATAAAAAAATCTACAAACAACAGATTAACAATATAAATGATGAAATAGCACCTGCAACTGCATTATTTTGAGACTGCTTCCATTAACATTTTGGCAGCCATGCTCATGAACATCTCTTTTGGAAGATACTACCCTAGCTCCCCGCAATCTCCACTTACCACACACAGCTTTTTTCCTTATCCTTTAATTAACCTCCAGTGCAACTCTCCCTTTTCCAGGCCGAGCACCAGATGACCAGCTCTACCAAATAAGCACCACTGTCCCGATGCTCCTCACCTTCATGCTCTCACTGAATGAGAACTCAGGAATGTTCTTTTAGGCATTCCCATGAATAATCTGTCATCCCCACTGGGGCAGACAAATTCCATAGTTATGCTACAGCATTTCCCTGACGTGTCTTTAAAATCTGTCTCGTGGAAGAATGGCCCTTCATTGTTTTGGCCATGCTCAACTCACCCAAAGTCAAGACTCTCTTATCAAGACTTCAACCACCTTTTCTACAGCCTCTTTCAACTTACATTAGTGAATCCTCATTTTTGTGCCTAACCTCAGTCATTCTAGACAGGCACTTACATTTATTGTCTTCTCAGTTTCCACAGGATCTGTATTTTCTACCAAACTTCCTACATTCTCGAGAGTAGAAATTCAAGGAAGTCTGGATCCAGAAGTTAGGGTTTTATATAAGATCTTTGCAAAAGAGCTGGCAGTGGCCTTCAGCTGCTTTCTTTTGTACTATCAGAATATAAAGTCAGTGCCCACTTTGGCAACTAGTCATAATTTTCACAAATATTTACTTCACACTTGGCCAGACTGAAACTCTTCTGTCACCTTGTATAGTCACACATCTCTGAAAACTTCATAATCACACACAGATTACCTCTAGCAATGATTCACCGAAAAAATGTTCCTGATACCGGACACCTCCCCTTTTCCTCTGTTTCCTGTCAAGAATGAAACATAAACCTTAATATCTTAATAGTTCCACTATCTTTCAGCAGCCAAAAAAGATTCCCATTAGAGAAATGAGAGTGTTCTTTGCAGAAGAACTTTTCTGTGCCATCCAGTTTCAAGTTTGTTTCCAGATGTTTCCTTCTGTTTGAGCACTCAACAGAAGACTCCCACTTTCCGAGCCTCCTCATTCAGGCTGTGGACAGAGGTACTTTTCAAGCTCTCCTGTTAGTCACTTGGACTTGCTTGGTGAGCCACAAGCCACAGAACGTACATAGCAGCAAAAGAACTGAGAGTCTGCCCAGGTGCCAAGCCCAGGCTTTCCTGGTCCCTAAGTTTGGCTTAGATTCTATAAGGGGAGTAGGAGCACACAAAACAGCTTCCTGCTTCCGGCACTAAGGCTCCAATTCACAGGGAGTCATGTCTTTACCCAGGTTACCCAGGGTGAATCAGGCAACAGTCTCCAAACTATACTTACAGGGAACACAACCAAGAAGAAAACAAAAAAAAAAGCTGGTCATTTGTTTTCGACTCATTCTTATTTATAATACTTACCATATTCATTCTATTACAGAAATATTTCACATTTATTGTGGGAAATAGAAAAATGACCTGTTGTAGGACCCTCCTGAGCAAGGGTTGAATCCAGTTTTTTTTTTTTGGACTT